GAAATACGCCAACCCAACATGTACCTTTGGAGACACCTGTAGAGCTCCTTTATAATCACCCAGTTACGTTGTGACGTTTGGTAGCACACAAAGTGTTCCTCCGGCAAACGGGAGTTGCATAATCTCATAGTCATAGGAACATGTATAAGTCATGAAGAAAGCAATAGCAACATACTAAACGATCGGGTGCTAAGCTAATGGAATGGGTCATGTCAATCACATCATTCTCCTAATAATGTGATCCCGTTAATCAAATGACAACACATGTCTATGTTTAGGAAACATAACCATCTTTGATTAACGAGCTAGTCAAGTAGAGGCATACTAGTGACATTTGGTTTGTCTATGTATTCACACAAGTATTATGTTTCCGGATAATACAATTCTAGCATGAATAATAAACATTTATCATGATATAAGGAAATAAAATAATAACATTATTATTGCCTCTAGGGCATATTTCCTTCATTTCACATGCAGGTCAGCAGTAAATCACGCATCTACGCAGGTCAACTAGGATAAGCAGGTGAACAAAATCTTCATCTAACGAGGAAACTCTGATGAAAGATACCATCTCTTGCTCTGTATCTTCTGTAGACATTCTTACACTGAATTTATGAACACATTCTTCTACTATCCACTACTTACTGGTTACAGGGATTGAATGCTAAAATCAAGGTACTACAACAATCTAGTCTAGATAAACAACACAGGGCGCAGGGGGAAGTCCTCTTCGTAACAAAATCTCGCGGAAACCGCCTCATTAGTTGGAATTAGGATGCCATGGCAAGACGAACTGAAAAAGGAAAAAAGGCGGCCGCACTGACCTTGATGAACTCGGCGGGGACGCCACGGACGCGCTCGACGAGCAGGCTGGCACCCTCGAGCTCGCGCACCAGGCGCGCCACGCTGTCCTTCCCCGCTTGCACATGGCCTGCCACATCGAATCCAAGGGGGTCAGGGGCTGCCTGCGGTGAAGAGAAAGAGAGGATAATGGGGAACCTCACCTCCATGGCGTCGGTTCGCACTAGTAGCAGCAGGAGGAGGGTCGGAGGAGCAAGTAGTAGGACCACCGGCAGACCGTCTGCATCGGCGGCGGGCAAGAGGGAGTCCTCCCCACGCCGCACTGCACCCGGAGAAGGGGGCCCCTAGCTAGGGTTTGGGGCCGGCACAAGGGCACGACGAGGAGGAGGATCCGCACGTGAGGTGGGGGGCGCCGGTGGTGGGGTTGGGGGAGAGAAGGTCGTCGGCGTCGGTGGTGGCGGCGGGGTTGGTTGGGGGAAACGTGGGGAGTGGAGGACGAGGAGAGGCATCGTGGGAGAGAAAGGTAGAGCAGGGGTGAGAGGCTGAGGTGGGGCGGCAAGGAGATAACTTAACAGTAGCGTTGGGTTTATACCCCACGCTAATCCAACGCTACTACTATGGTATGTCTTGGGTGCACGGTTGAGACCATTTAGTAATAGCGTGGGATTTATAACCCGCGCTGCTACTATCAACTTAGTTGTAGCGTGGGTTTATAACCCGCGCTACTACTATGGCTGGTCCGGAGGGGCACAGTGAAAATCACTTAGTAGTAGCGAGGGTTATAAAACTGCGCTACTACTATCAACTTATTAGTAGCGCGGTTCCTTTAAGCTCGCTACTGCTAGTTAGCAGTAGCGCCTGTTTTTAAACCGCGCTGCTGCTAAGATTCTGTGTATAACGTTTTCCCTAGTAGTGCTCCCGAACCCGTAGGGTCTACACACTTAAGGTTCGGTGACGCTAGGGTTGTAGAGATATGAGTATGCAGTAATCCGAAAGTTCTTCGGAGTCTCGGATGAGATCCTGGACGTCATGAGGAGTTCCGGAATGGTCCGGAGGTGAAGAATTACATATAGGAAGTGTAGTTTCGGCCATCGGGAAAGTTTCGGGGTCACCGGTATTGTACTGGGACCACCGGATGGGTCCCGGGGGTCCACCGGGTGGGGCCACCCATCCCGGAGGGCACCATGGGCTGAAGTGGGGAGGGGAACTAGCCCATAGTGGGCTGGTGTGCCCCCCCTTGGGCCCCCCTGCGCCTAGGGTTGGAAACCCTAGGGTGGGGGGCGCCTCCACTTGCCTTGGGGGGCACTCCACCCCCCTTGGCCGCCGCCCCCTTGGGAGATCCCATCTCCAGGGCCGGCACCCCCCAGGGGGCCTATATAAAGGGGGGGAGGGAGGGCAGCCGAACCTGAAGTCTTGGCGCCTCCCTCTCCCCTGCTACACCTCTCCCTCTCGCAGAAGCTCGGCGAAGCCCTGCTGCGATCACTGCTGCATCCACCACCACGCTGTCGTGCTGCTTGATCTTCATCAACCTCTCCTTCCCCTTTGCTGGATCAAGAAGGAGGAGACGTCATCCGCTCTGTACGTGTGTTGAACGCGGAGGTGTCGTCCGTTCGGCACTTGGTCATCGGTGATTTGGATCACGATGAGTACGACTTCATCATCCCCGTTCTCTTGAACGCTTCCGCTCGCGATCTACAAGGGTATGTAGATGGACTCTCATCTCGTTGCTAGTTGACTCCATAGATTGATCTTGGTGAAAGGTAGGAAATTTTTTTGTTTTCTGCAACGTTCCACAACAGTGGGCACTAGAACCTCCCTCAGCAACTCGAGCACGTGTGTCCTTTGCTCTCGCCTTCTCTTCAACATCAAGAGTACCAATGAGATCCGCAACGGAAAACTCATGTCTCTTGTGTTTCAGGGAAGTAGTAAAATTGTTCCATGAAGGTGGAAGCTTGGCAATGATGCCTCCGGCAACAAATTTGTTCGGCAACACACACTTGAAGTACTCAAGTTCTTTTGCGAGCGGCTGTATCTCATGAGCCTGCTGTACAACAGGGCGCTCATCAGTCATCTTGTAGTCATAGAATTGCTCCATGACGTACAACTCGCTGCCGGCGTCCGAGGCATCAAACTTGGCCTCGAGCGCAGCCCACATGTCCTTGCCGTTGTCAAACGACATATACGAATCCACAATGGAGTCATCAAGAACACTCAGAAGAGCGCCTTTAAAGAGGGTATCGATCTTCTCAAAAGCTTCCAGCTGTGCTGGATTAAGATCGCCCTCAGGCTTGCCCTTGGTGGCGTCATAGCAGCCCATGGTCTGAAACCAGTAGACTGCTCTCGTGCGCCACCTCTTATATTGCTCCCCCTTAAAGGCAGGCGGCTTCAAATGCGCAGCAAAACCACTCGGAGTAAATTGCCTATAATCAGGTTTTTGGATTGTTGGAAATATGAGCAAATTACTACGAGATATAATCCGAATAAATAGGAAATAGATCATGACAGCAATAGCAGAGATTAAACTAATCATGCGAACTAGCATAGTAGATGAACAAATCACATCTAGGGCACATACTAGAAACATGAATTCTACCACGATCTCGAACAGGAAGGATATAATCACATACGGTGCAGCGGGAGCAGCACCGCCGGCGTTGACGTTGTCGCCCATGTCGTCGAGGATGAGGTTGCCGAGGTCGGGGAAGAAGTCGTCGTTCGCGAAGTCGTCGCTACCAGCACTCGCGCGAGTGCGCTCCCCAAAAACCTGATCGCCCCTCTCCCGTACACGATCACGAGAGGCGGGGTTCCGGAGGCCTGCTGTCCCTTCTCCCGGTGCACACCGAAAGGAGGGATGGAGAAGACTTGCTTGGCGGTGCAATGATCTGGAACGGTGGTGAGAAACCATGCGAAGCGGCAGCGGCTAGGGTAGACGTCTGCCTGAATATATAGTGCGGGCCGGGTAGGTCGTGAGAGTAAACCCCACATTCGAGTCGTCACGATTCAAAAGAATCGAAAACGGTTTAGCAATTAACGCGTCCGTTAATTATTAATTAATGACTCTTCAATTTTTCCCGAGCAGCAAAAATATAGACAACGTGCATAGCTCTGTCCTCGGCTCAATCCCGCAACCCGCGTCGCGGCGCGGCGAGCGAGGAGGAGGAGCGCGCGTGTAGGTCTTCTCTTCTCATGCTCATACAAGTGGTAGAAGAGCTCACCTTATAAAGAGGTGCAACTCTCTCTCAACTTTCGGGATGGGACTAAGTTTTAGTCTCACTCACTCCACTCATATGTGTGCATGAATGGGCCAAGAGAATTTCAGAATTTTAGTTGGGCTTTGGGCCAAAGGTCTATTAGCAAAATTCCAACATTTAATACTGGCTATACATACTTATACGAGTGAACAGACACATAAAAACGCGTCTACATGCATCCAACTCAGGAAAAAAAACCAAAGCATCTTATAATTTGAAATGAAGGGACGCCTACACTAATCCAAAGATAGAAAATGCAGCACCGCATCCAGCGTTTAAAATGCCACATATCTGGACGCCTGGGTTTTGAACGAGAAAGAAGCTCTCTAGGGACGTCGCGTCGCGTCGCGTGCGCGCAAGGGATCGGAGCACGTAGCGGCATGGGTACCTACCACCCCGCCCGACGTGCGCCCCGCGACACAGCCCGCGGTTTACGATGCCATACCACGTGCCGTGCCAACGCGACATTGCAGCGGCCAAACACACGGCAGCGGAGTCACTGGAAGCAGAAAGGAAACCCAAGAGAAAAGAGACGAGGGCCCGACCCACTTGAGAACAAAAAACAAGAGACACCCTGGGCCGCGGGCCCCGAAGCCGCGCGGCTGGCAGTGGGCCCAGCCTGTCAGCGCCGGTACGTGGCGAGGCTTTTTTTTTCGTTGCGGGGCGAGGCCAGTATATATTAAACCGCCCGGCCGGCCCGATCTTTCCCCAATCTCGCAGCCCAAACCCCCCCTCCCCACGACTCGCCCGCTCCGGACGCCGACGAGCCCAGCGCCGCCGCCCGCCATGGCCGTGGAGGTTCGCCGCGCGACGCCGCCGCGCGGCGGCGCGCGCCCCGGGGAAGGGAGGGGGGCGCGGGTGCAGGCCGGCGACGCGCTGCCGCTGCCGATCCGCCACACCAACCTCATCTTCTCCGCGCTCTTCGCCGCCTCGCTCGCCTACCTGATGCGCCGCTGGCGCGAGAAGATCCGCTCCTCCACGCCGCTCCACGTCGTGGGGCTCACCGAGATCTTCGCCATCTGCGGCCTCGTCGCCTCGCTCATCTACCTCCTCAGCTTCTTCGGCATCGCCTTCGTCCAGTCCGTCGTCTCCAACAGCGACGACGAGGACGAGGACTTCCTCATCGCCTCCGCCCAGCCCAAGCCCGCCCCCGCCCCCGCGGTTCCCGCGCAGTGTGCGCTGCTGCAGAGCGCCGGCCCCGCGCCCGAGGTAATGCCGGAGGAGGACGAGGAGATCGTTTCCCAGGTCGTTGCCGGGAAGATCCCCTCGTACGTTCTGGAGACGAAGTTGGGCGACTGCCGCCGGGCCGCCGGGATCCGCCGCGAGTCGCTGCGCCGGATCACGGGGAGGGAGATCAACGGCCTCCCGCTCGACGGCTTCGACTACGCGTCCATTCTCGGCCAGTGCTGCGAGATGCCCGTCGGGTACGTGCAGCTGCCCGTGGGCGTCGTCGGGCCGCTCCTCCTCGACGGCCGCCGGCTCTACGTCCCGATGGCCACCACCGAGGGCTGCCTCGTCGCCAGCACCAACCGTGGATGCAAGGCCATTGCCGAGTCTGGCGGTGCCTCCAGCGTCGTGTTCCGTGACGGGATGAGCCGCGCCCCCGTCGCCAGGTTCCCAACCGCCCGCCGCGCCGCCGAGCTCATGAGGTTCTTGGAGAACCCGGACAATTTCGACACTCTGTCTGTGGTCTTTAGCAGGTATAATAGACTAGATTAGTGCCCCTTTTATCTGTCATATTCAGCCCATGCTCCGCTCGCACGACAAATGTCATTAAGCTACGACGTCTCTTGTGTTTGACGATATGTTTATGTGCCACATCACTGGCCATCAATCAAATCAGCGATGTTTCCTTTTTAACCCAAAATGCTTCGTTTGTGCAGATCAACGAGGTTTGGAAGGCTGCAGGGGGTCAAATGCGCGTTGGCAGGGAGGAACCTGTACATGAGGTTCACCTGCAGCACTGGTGATGCGATGGGGATGAACATGATCTCCAAGGGCGTGCAACATGTGCTGGACTATCTAGAGGAGGATTTCCCTGATATGGATGTCGTCAGCATCTCAGGTATTTTCGCACGTTTATAAATAAGTTTGTTTTTGCTTTCTTCGATCGTGAATGATGTTGTACCATTGATAGATTATTATTATTATTATTATTATGGTGGCTAGTTATGACTTATCAGAGCCTTCTAATAATTTTGGACGCCAACATACGTCTGACGTCAGCTCAGGGGTAACCCGAGCGAAACGATCATTCCCCCAGGCAGGGTGGAACAAACTAAAAAGTTCGATCGCAAAAAGAAAAAACACTTCCATTGAATGCTTCAGAATTGTCATGCGAAAACAGATAAAATTGCCGTGCTGTTGTAAAGGGCTTGCCATGTTCTGAAGTAAAAATTGCCATGCTCAGAAATATTGTCATGTTGACCGAAGGAAATTGCCATGCTACCTCAATGGAAAAGCTGAAAATTGCCATGCTCTAAAAACTGAAATTGCCATCCGGAATGTGTTCGCTCATTTTTGCCACCAGCTTCGTAGTTCGCCCAGAGGGGTGCGTGGGAGCGAACACTTTAGGATTTGTGTGCAGGATCCAACTTGCCTCAGGGCGTTAGCTCTGATTGCTTAAGAACGTGACCTCAGTTCTATAACATTTTGGATAATTTTATAGTTGATGAATGGTTAGATGATGGTATCAAAGAATAAGAGCACAGCAGATTCTCTTAATTAAATCCCATTCTGCAAATATTCAAACTCAGAGAGTTGATGAATGAAGCAACTGGCATGATAGATGTTTAAGGTGTTTTAGTTGGATTTACTTGTTATGCAATAGAAAGCGGCAGATGAGCCTCGGTTGTTATTTTAATTGGATATCCCTTTGGTGTCAGCTCTCGATCCAAACTGACGTGGACTCCAGTTGTTTTCATTTGTAGTAGTTGGGCTACCTTTTTGTCCGATCTCTCCAGCTTGCTGCCAGCTCTTAGTACTTTCGAGAGAGGACGAAAATTCACACAAGGAAATTTGGACAAGGCCACCTCATCCTTGTCTTCCCTATTATGTCTTACTCATGTTTTGTCATGACACAAGTAATACCAGTCGCCGAATTTTGCACAGTACAGTCATAGAGCGATGTTCCAATCTGTAAAAATCTCAAGTGGTTTATAGATATTGAAAACTACTTACAGTTGTTGCTGATTAACACCAGATATGCACCGTATTCATAGCAGTACATTTATACTTAGTATAGTGGTATGCATCTAGCTTTTTCACATATCTTTGGCGCTACATAATTTCCTAACTAAACTTCCATAAACAACAGGCAATTTTTGTTCTGACAAGAAATCAGCTGCTGTAAATTGGATTGAGGGGCGTGGTAAGTCTGTGGTTTGCGAGGCAATAATCAGAGAGGACGTTGTGGAGAAGGTTCTCAAGACCAACGTTCAGTCACTCGTCGAGTTGAATGTGATCAAGAACCTTGCTGGTTCAGCTGTTGCTGGAGCTCTTGGGGGTTTCAATGCCCACGCAAGCAACATTGTATCAGCTATCTTCATTGCCACTGGTCAGGATCCTGCACAAAATGTTGAGAGCTCACAGTGTATCACGATGTTGGAAGCTGTAAATGGTGGCAGAGACCTTCACATCTCCGTTACTATGCCATCCATTGAGGTACGAAGCAATATTTTTCTTCATGATGGAATCATGCTCTTCATATTCTTTTTTATGTGACATATGTTGATTGTCAGTCATCCCCTTATTTTGTTATCCACGGATTGATGAATTTTGCACTTCAGACCCTGGTCCTTTGTGAAGAACCATTGATTATTCAATCAATTAGATGGCATCCTGTTATGTGAATAGGAAACTATTAACAAATATCAATATCTTGGTATCATCTATCATGCTGTTGATCCTATAATGGTCCCACCCATTTAATTGCAAACATATACATGTATGTTAGTGAGTTTAAATTATCCCTTTGTTAGGTTACATGGAGATTTTAAAATAACGCTGTCATGCATAGGGCTTGATTCTGTTGTCATGAAGCACGATATAGATGGCATGTTCAACTATGCTTGCTTGTTCTTTAGAATAAGTTCTTTATATGCCAAAATGCCAATTTTATTATTCCTTTGTGGGACATTGTTCTCCACACCATCTGGTTTTCTAAACTACTATTCCTTTCGTTTGCTGTTCGCCTTCTCGCTATTGTTTTCGTCATCAGCCAGCTCAGGCTAGACCGGCAGTTATCTGTTTTATTAGTGGCTTAATCTGTAACGTCGTGTTTGCTATTATTGTCGAGAAAGGCATACATCGCCCTGTACATAATTGGGTTAATTATCATCATACACCTAACCTTCAGCACCAACCACGATATATATATGATATGAGCTGATGGGTGTGTTGTGATGATCGAAATGCAGGTGGGCACAGTTGGTGGAGGCACGCAGCTGGCCTCACAGTCGGCCTGCTTGGACCTACTGGGCGTCAAAGGCGCCAACAGGGAATCCCCGGGATCGAATGCTAGGCTGCTCGCCACGGTGGTGGCTGGTGCGGTCCTGGCTGGCGAGCTGTCCCTCATCTCTGCTCAGGCAGCCGGCCATCTGGTCCAGAGCCACATGAAATACAACAGATCCAGGAAGGATATGTCCAATTCCGCCGCTTGCTGAAGCGCATGCATCACAACTTGGGCCCTTGCCAGAAGCAAATGGACAAAACGAAATGTTCGCCGGATATATAAATCCCCCCTTCACCTTCGTGGGAGTGGACAGCCAAGGAAGGAAAGTTGATTCCTTGCGTGGAATGGCATGGCAATGCTCAGGAGGTGAAAAGGGAAACCCCGTCGGATGAACAGTTTGTCTGGAGATCGGTCATGGTTTACCAGGAGGAGAAGAGAGCAGCTGTATTTACCACCCTGTGCTTCCACCCTGGATGTGGCCTATTTTTATTTTCTTGATGTTGTCCCGCACAGCAGCCGCCCAGTGCGCGTCTTGTTTTGCCCGTCTTGAATCTTCTGACACCTTCGTTGTTTTTGTCCAAAGCTTACATTACCCTGTTTCTGTTCCTTTCTGTTACTGCCTCCAGGAATGCTTGTAGTAGTAACATTGTAACTAATTCAGTTTCGTCTGTTTGATCTTTCTACCCTACCTGTTGCCCTTGGTGTACTTGGTGGCTCGCTTGTAAAGAAGTTGTGGTCCGTGATAATTTTACCCGTTTGTTTTTTGGTTCAACTGAATCCGTTCTCCTCGTGACCGTGTTTGTTTTCCATGCTTTTCTCTGTAAATTAATCGCCTCGGCAGAGTCCCAGCTGTTGTGTGTTCTGTCAGAGTATATGTTAAGAAATTAGTCAAACAAGCATGGCAGCACTCATGGCTAGGTCCTGACAGGAAAATAAATACTTGACACTCTTGGCTTAGCAGTCGCCACCAAAGCCATGTCGGATACCGATGGTTTCCAAGGAGGAGCACGTATATACTACTTGAGCAGAAAGAGGGTACACGGTGATCGTGATTGTGGTCACAGACTCCTCACACCGCAAGTCATCTATTCGTCCGGTACAGCACGTGCTCCGGGCCCGTGTGTTTGGTTGAAGTCATGGACCTATGGTCGGGCACCCCAAACCGGTCTTATACATCCGGTCGGGCTGCCTGGTCATGGTTAATATACATCCGGTCGGGCTGCCTGGTCATGTTTTTTAACCCAGACGGCTCCTTCGAACGAGCTTAAAATGCCCGGTTGACCAACATTCCTCATATCATCTTAAATATAAAGTGAATATGGGAATGTTTGGACACACCCGTCATGTAGGATAGATGAAGGGGTCCCAGGAGGACTCGCCTCGAAACCCGACGGTTCGACGGACGCCTTTTTCGTCGCCGCATGGCCCTGTTCCTGCTCGCCGCCCGAGAGAAAATCCGTCTATTTAACCCAGCTGGAGTCCCGCAACTCTAGTCCATCCACACCCCCTTCTCCGCACCATTAGTCCGAGCCCATCCACCTCCCTCTCCCGCTCCGGTGCTCCGCCCACGCTCTGGTGGTCCACCATGGCCCGAAGGAAGATCACCTACTACGGGAGCGCCGCACCGAGATCAAGCAGGAGAGCCGGGCGAGACAAGCCGCGCGCGCAGCCCGCATCGCTGCCGAGCTGCCTCCGGACTCGCTGGAGCCGGAGGAGGAGGAGCAGCCGGGGGAAGGAGGAGAAGGAGCTGCTCCGATGGAGGTGGATGAGGCGGAGGAATAGCTGTCGGGCTTCAACATGGAGCAGGCGGAGGCGGATTTCGCCGTCGCCCGGTCCGACGAGATGGCGGAGCAGCAAGCCATCCTGGAGTCCATCCAGGATGAGGCCTATGTGGAGGCCAACCGGCCATTCCTCCGGCAGGAGCAGGCGGCGTCGGACGCGCTCTTCGCCGAACTCGACACGGAGATAGAGACGGAGAAGGCTGGAGCGGAGCAGCCGGAGGCGTCAGAAAAGGAGCCTGAGCTGCAGCCGCCGACAATCCTACCGGAGCCGGGCACGGAGATCGTCAACATCTCCGACGATGAGTAGCTAGGTGATCAACGTAGTATGTAGGTTATTTTGTTTGCATGTCCTTGTATGAATTTAGGAATCTAGTATGAGATGTTCGGATGCAACAATTGAAATTTGAGACATGTACAGTCACTGCTCCGCGGGCGTTTGAGGGGCCATATTTGACATATCTGCTTGTAGATGCTCTAAGGGCAACTCCAACGGATGGATGTCCATTTTATTCAGATTTTGTCCATTTGAGGGTGGTAATGGGGCAGCGTCCGTCCGGATTTTTGCCTACGCACGACCGCATCCTATTCGCCTGCATGGAAATTTTTGAAAGCAACAAAAAATGTAGCTAATGCCATCGGCCGCGGTTCATGCGGCCGGCAACAAAGTCAGCGGCCTACAGAATGTCGCCCCCTAATTTCACGTCGGCAACAAACGACCGGCATACTAGTCAACCTTTAAAATGAACATGTTCCTAACGACAGCAATAAAGCCAGTGGACAGCACATCAGTCGGCCTTCAAAATGAACAATTTTTTGACGCGGACAACAAAGCCATCCTACTGTTGCCCTTGATGTAGTTCGTGGCTCGTTTGTAAAGAAGATGTGGTCCGTGATAGTTTTACCCATGTGTTTTTTGGTTCAACTGAATCTCTTCTCCTTGTGACCATGTTTGTTTTCGATGCTTTTTTCTGTAAATTAGTTGCCTCGACAGTCAGCATAGTCTTAGTTGTTTGTTCTGCCAGAGTATGCTTATATGTAAAGAAATTTGTAAGAGCATCTACAACCAAATTCCTCAAGTTGTTCGGAGACCACTGAGCGGACAGGGGAGAGAAGCAAAAAGTTAATCTAACCGGACCTCTCATATCATCCCTATGCGCGGCTGTCCACGAACCCTCATATCCATCTTAAATATGTGGAGGATACGAGGGCTCGCCGACGTGCCAGGACGCACCCGGTCAGTCCGCCACATAGGATGTGTCACCACCTTTTTTTTCTTTATTTATTCTTTTATTTCTCTCTTTTCATTTTCACCAATCACATGCACAGACATATGAGAAATAAAAAAAATATAGTTATGTGAACGGGTGAATAGGGATTCAAAACGGACATGTCCGGTCATTTTGAGGGCTCGAATTAGAGATACGTAGCTGAAGATGCTCTAACACAAGCATGGGAGCACTCATGGCTGGGTCCTCACAGGAATAAGAAATACAAGTATGACACTCTTGGCTTAGCAGTGGCCACCAAAGCCATGTTGGGTGCCGATGGTTTCCAACCAAGAACACGGTATTTCCTTCAGCAGAAGAGAATACAGTGATCGTCGAGCGACGCACTAGCTGTGGATGTGGTCACTGACAGACTCCTCGCGACGCAAGCCATCTGTTCGTCCGGTACAGCACGTGTTCCGGGCCCCGGC